TTCTTATCTAAAGAACTCCTTTCCGTTGTTTACTTATTCACACCTCCATAATTATTAATTACACTCTAAATGTGCAGAATGACTTTATTTATAATAAAATTATTTTTTAAATACATTTAAATTTTCTAAATTGATAAAACACGTTCCATAAAGCAAGTTTCTGGTCTGATAGCCTTTACTTTTCCGAGTAATTTAATATTAATAAAACAAACATTTTCCATTGTAGACATTGCATAATTTCTAACCAAAGATTTATATCTTTCGGCAAAGATATACACTACTTATCCATTCTATGTTCAAAAATATCAGCGCTAATTAAAGACTTAGTGGAATAGATGTGATAAATTGTTTACTGAAAGGTTAATTTATCAAACTTCTTAACTTATTTAGACAAATTATTAAAATTCTAATTTAAGAACGAGTAACACGCTTCTAGTATCTGTCTTTGATACTTTTAATCTTACATGAACACAAATAAAAACATTTTTAAGACTATCTATTAGTAATTTTATTTCATATAATGGAAATAATCCTTTTCTTACCTAAGATATAAAATTCACTGTTTAGAAAGTAATCATATTACATTCATTTTATAAAATTTAAAAATGTATATAGCCTATACCGAAGTTAATCCGAGGATCTTACGGTGTAAGGAAGCTAAAATATATACAAAAAAAAAATTCTTATCCAAGTAGAATTAACTTTATTAGGAAGTAAAAAAAAGGAGGAAAAGTTTTTTTTAAACACGAGGATTAAATTACATCCGACATCCATCGACCAGTTCTAATGTGAAAAAAAAACAACTAAGAAATCACCTGCATGTATCTTTCTTCACCACGTACGGGTACGGAATTCATTTCCGAGTTATTAAATCGGACGATTAAAGTCCTTCCGATTCATTATTTATACTACTGTTTGACAAAATGTCGCCGACTGATAATTTGTAGCGCCTTTGTCGCGTGAAGAGGGTCGTCGTCATTCTTTATCTAATGCTTAATTAACTTTTATCGATCGCTAACCCAGACGAGCAACAAGAGAATGAGATACGCGGCTAAACCGCATCCATGCAAACATTAACCTGTTCGTCACTTCCACTCGCTTACCCACAATAATTCTGGATGCCCATCGCATATATACGACAATGAATAGTGTTAAGAGAAAAATATCCGATTTCAGTAGAAATATAGCAATCGGTTCGGTAGAAAAAACATTCGAAAAGTTTCTTCTACAAGCGGTAACTTCATACAAGAATGGAAATGTGAGACACAGAGACAATGTAAATTATTAAAAAAATATATTATATTTTTTGCCACATCATTCTCTTATCAGATGCATTATTCTTCAGAAAAAAGTGTCAAAAAAATGTCACGTTTAGAGTAAACTCTTTTAAAATATAAAATCTTATTTTACACAATGAAAATGTCAAGTATTTCCAGTGATATAATAACAAATATTTGGTTTTAAAGGAAAAATGATAGAAAATAACTCAGAGAAAGTAAGATATTTTTTATACATTACGTTTTCTTAACAATCTAATAAATGAGTATGGTAATTTATACGCGATAATCTATCAGTTAAGTGTTAAATGGAAACAACGTTCGGTTCGATTGAATAAACAACGTCGGTTTATTAATATAGAAAACGCTTTTTTATATAAGGTTAGTGTACTTTAACACGTGTCATAATAAAGAAAAAAAAAGAGGAGAGTCGATTTATTTCGGAGAAATTATACAGTAACTAAATAATAAAACATTTGGTGTAGGGTATAAAGGTATGGAATTGGTCTTCGTAAAGTTGTTTGTTGGAGGATTATTTTCGTCTAAAATTGGAATTTTTGTTCTTTCGGATTCCAATTTACTTCTTTGTGTTTGTCTCACTTTTTATTCATTCCATCCGGGTTATTAACCGGATAATCAAAAAGGATTTGTCCGAGAGGCGTTCAGTGAATGACTTTCTATTTAGTTTGTTCTATAACTAACGAGAATAGAGAAAATAAAACATTTCGAATAAAAAAATAAAAACTTCTTTACTAATTCTAATAAAACGTTATTACTTTCATCTGTTTTAAGTACACAGATTGCAAACAAACTGTATATGGGATAGCTTTAAATTAAAATAAGAAGACACCAGTAACATCAACATGCCAAAATTTTAAAGGGGTAAAGGGGTTAAATGAGAAAAATTTCTCAGTGAAAATTACCCATCGTTAGATCTAATTGACCTTTTTCTAACGATTAACAATGCAACAATTGTTCGTCTAAATGAAGTCGACACGATCGATGGAGAAGTCGAAGACTAAATTTATTTACATTATATTAATTACTTTAGAATTTTGTTTTTCCGAAGATAAATTAAGAATTATTATTTTTTTTTTACTGAAAAATTAAATTTTGAAATTTTTATTAAAACCATGGAAATACGACATTTTTTTTTTTAAAGGTAAATATTGGGTCTTCTATTTATAGTCTTATCATTAAAAATTAAGACGTAATATAAATAGATACTTGTCTATATATTCAAATAAAACAGTTAAATTAATATCTTACGAATAGTTTCTCTCAAACTATTTGAAGAAACCATTTACTGGTTATTTCATTGAATCAGTGTAATAATTCTTCCAATGATTATACAATGAATACGGTTACATATTGTTGAAAAAAAAGAAAACGAAGAGTTTTACGAGAATTCCTACGTATAATCTAAAATATAGAATATTTCGGAGTTATTCTGATATATGCAATTGCTGAAATATGCATCAAAACTCATTTGCATGGCCTCTTGCAAATGAGTTTCGAAGATGAAATTAATATGACATTTCAATGAATTTTCCAGCTATTCTCGTAGAATTCTAAACACGTTATTATCGAAGTAGAAAAGTATAGAATGAAATACTGATAAACAATAATTGATAGAAATGGAGTACGACACGAGAAATATCGCAGATAGACGAATATAGTGTATAGTATTAGGATTAAAAGAAAATACATAAAATACAACTTACATTCAAATATGATGTAAAGTAGTAACCTTTTAGCACAGCGGGGACAAAGGGGGTACGGCTTTGTTAATTAGACCCACCTGCGGTGAGACGGTAGTACAATTGCCATATTGTAAACGAACGAACGTAAACAAGTGGCGGACGTTTGTGTAAGCTTCACTCTCGTCGGGTGACGGCGGACCCGAGTGTAAGCTGTTCGGGCAAAGGAAAGGGATTGTGATTGGTCGGAAGTCCCCGTCCAAAAACCCTTAAATTGCGGGCCGAACGAGAGGAAAGGAGAGAAGGGCAAGAGACTGGTACACGGTAGTCTCAGGCACTTGGGAAGCCCGCTGAGCGTAAAGAGAGAGTGTTCTCCTCTGTTAATCTTCTCAGGGACGGGTTAGTGCTGAGACCGGACCGACCGTGCAGTTGAGCCGACTCCGAAAGCTGACTGAGGTCTCTCCCAAGAGTATTAGTTTCCAGACGCCAATCTGGCACGTGAATTCACCACGCATGATCTTCCTGTACATATGCTACGTTTATAACTTGTACAACTGTAAATAAACTATATATATATTCAATTTGAGTGTGGAGGNAGGAGCAATCAAACAATCCCAAGAAAGATTAGTTTTGTTATCTATGATTTATTTTCTCTTTCATTCGATAGATAAATAAATAAATAAAATTTTATTAATGTTAGATAAATGCATCGTTTCTAATGGTTATTTCTAGTGTAATGCGACAACGTTGATAATTACATTCATCTCGTGCATTAATTTTCGACCCCCCTACAACACTGTTGATTATTCCGTTTTATATGAATTCCATGTTGTACGAGTCACTTAGATTTTACAAATACGTGAGCCGTTCACAGCCCGGTACACGTATTTGTAAAATATAAGTGACTCGTACAACATGGAATTCATATAAAACGGAAAAATCAACAGTGTTATAGGAGAGTTGACTGGTAGACTGAAGAAAAATGTACCCAAACATTCTTTTAGTTTAATTTTTAAAATGTTAGTAACAAATGAAATCGAATTCAATAAATATTATTAATTCAGAAATGATCTAATCAATTGTTCGCAGACAATTACACTCATAATTCTATAATATCAATAACAATACTTGATTAATATCTCATTCGAATTCGTAACTTAGTTAAATCTATGAAATGGAATCATTTAATTGAATCTCTCCAATCGAATATATGCCCCTCTTTATATTTACTTTTTTATGATGATGAACACACACGCTTTAAATTAAACAGTAAAGAATTGTATCTAGTTTTTGATAACACAAGCTTTCTCCATACTTTAAATTATAAAATTCTTTGATACTGTATTTTCACGGTCTCAATGACAGCTTCCTGTTTTTGGGATGCATTCCGATAATGAGTTAACACGGAGCTGTGATGAATTCCACATTGTCTATCCTCCATACTTTTCGACACGTGTTTAAAGTGACTTTTATAATAAATTAACAGTTCGAATAAGTGATGATCTTGCAAAATGACATCTCCAGAAAATTGATCATGACAATTTACTGGTCGGTTAACCAATTTTTTCAATAGAAACAATATTTTGTATATAATACGTGTGACTTCGTAGAATGCTAAATTAAACTCATTTACGCAACATTTGTGTGTTTCAAATAAATTTAGAAATTTAATTGTAAAGTGAATAGAGATAAATTACGTAATATAATAGCATTCTATCGTTCTAATGATTGAAATGGAATTCAAACTTGGTATGTAATTTGTATATATACGAAAATTCTTTGCGCTTCACCTCTAAAATTTAAATCCAAAGACTTTCTAGGCAAGAAAAAAAAAATACAAAGTTTAAAGAGAATTACTAAATTTAAAATTAAAATGTATTTTTCGATCGTAATGAAAACGTTTTCAGAAGTCAGATGCTCTTATATACGTTTAGAAGTAAAAAAAAGACAAAAAGTGACAAACGGGGAAAAGGACAAAAATGGCACGATAACAACTATTTATTATTCATAAAAATTCACTTGCCTTTCTTTTGGACGCAGCCAATCTCTGGTCTCTGACATCCTCCGCTTCTCCTGGAGTCCGTTTACCCCAAACCACAATGGCTATCCTCGTGTACGTGTAAATGAGCACCGTCAGAGGGAAGAAGTACTGCAAGATCATCAGAGCCATGCTGTAGTAGTAGCGCTGATGGTCTGTTTCCCAATCTTCCATGCAGATGTAGCGATCCGTGATGTTAAATCGTCTCCACTGTACGGGTTGCCTCAATCTGGACACGACGGCGGTGGGCAAGGGCGTCAACAAAGCCACGATCCACACCAGAACGATAATTAATTTGGACTGGAATTTGGTCATCCGTGGTCGAAGGGGATACAGGATGGCTATGTATCGATCTACGCTGATGGCTATGAGTGTGTAGGCGCTGACGAAGACGGAAGCGGCTTGAGCGTAAGAAACCAACACGCACATGATGGCTCCGAAAGGCCAATACTGTAGCAACAGATTGGACACGAAGCCAAAGGGAATACATAAGCAGGCCATCAGGATGTCTCCCACGGCCAAGTTGACGATGAAGAAATTGGTGACGGTGCGCATCCGCTGATAGGCCAGAACTATGTAACAGACCACGCCGTTGCCACCGATGGCGGCCACCGATATGGTGATGTACATGATGTACATGAGAGCCTCCACGGCCTTCAGAACTTTGGTATTGTCGTCTTCGGTAATGTTGTTGGGAATTTCGTTCCAAGACAGAACGGCGGGAGTAGTGAAATGATGCTGGCTGCTATTGGCCATTCCGAGGCCAGTCTTCAATTATACACATTTGACATAATTCCTGGCAAAAAAAGAAGTAATTATTAAAAATAAAACCGGACAATAAATCCACTTAAATAAATTCACGTATAGAAAGAACAAAAAAAAAGAGTCTTCAATATTTGTCTTTCTATATTTGCTTTTAGACAAATTTGTATATATCTAGGCGGAGGAGTTTCAAAATCAAGGTAGACTCTGCCGTGAAATATTGTCATTCTATTGATGTTAGATGGACGAATATTGCAGACTTTTTTGTATTTCTTCTATATGTGAATTTATCTAAATATATTTTAAATTTTGTTCGGATACAATACATAGGGCCTACATATAAGTATTCAATACAATAAGATTATCAAATGATTCTAATCATTATCCCTAGGAGTACAGACGTCCGGATACTGCAATACCGATACCGCATCGATACTTTCTTTCGATACTCAGTACTTTTTGTACTCGATTCTTTTGGTCCCATACCAGTACTTACATAAATACTTTACCAGGAATATCGTTACATTTTTCAATGTGCAGACACTGTTTTATCTTTTCACCAACGATTTCTTATCTATCTCTATCCCTCTATCTACTATACTGTTGGAATAATAGTACCCACAGAGCCCATTAGCAGGACTATATCTGGGGTTTTTTTTGGGGTTCTTTTTTGTACATAAGACGTCGTACGAGTGTAAACTGATGCACTGACTTCTGAACTAGATAACTGGGATTCACATTCTTAGAGTAAACAATAATGGGGCCCACTCCGCCTTCATTGTAATGAATACGGTACACTTATCACTCATTTTTGCGGTCCATTTTAAGCGAGTTTGAAATAACACCGTGGACAAAAGAAAACCAATCCTCTTTTTTTACAGATATTATTTAAAATTCCAATACATATAACGAAGTTTTAGTTTGAAAAATGTATAGAGAATCGAAGAGTAATTTTAACAAAACGTCAACATAGAAAATTTTACTGCTCTTTTAACGACAGGAATGCATTCTACGGTTTTCAAAAGACGAGTTTACTTTTGTGGGACTCTTTCAACCTCTCTTTATTACAGAGCGATTCAAATTCTCCAGGGGAGAGGACTGGCGATCGAAATGTCAGCAATCCCGAGAGGAGCAAGGGACATTCGAAAAAAAGAATTCTAAGGAAGTCAGACGGTTGCTCCTGTAAAGTGAGGATGATGACAACGATTTCTCGAGAGTTCCGACTTTTATATCTGCAATCTGTTTCACACTTTACAAAAATAATATTCCGTTGTCGACGATAACTCTAAAAAATGTCTTTGTGTAATTTCCTTACGTAACGTGTAAAAAAGTATAAAACATAAAATTTCATGAATTTTTACATTACGAATTTTATAAACGAATAAAAATAAACAATTCAAATAAATTTAACAAAATAAAATATACGAAAAGTTACGCAAGTTTAATTAAATTTAACAACTTTTCTCGAAAAGGCGGTAAGAGTTAATCGAAATTTTTGAAGATTTTAACAGATATTTCATGCTAAAACTACTTATTTTTTATGAGAAAGTCAAACGGAATTTGAATTGCAGTTATTCTTTAGCGCTTTTCCTACCGAAACGGCAGAAGGAATTAAATAAATGGAATCAATTTTAATAAGAAAAGAAAAGAGCCATTCGATCATACCATAAGAAAAGTATCGAAATATTATCGATCACATAAAGTCGACGTTATTACTAAAAGACATTCTGAAAATTCTAATACCTTCGTCCCAAAATAGCTTCTGAAAGAACTAATCTTCGATTCTCCAAATGTTTATTATTCCTGTCATTATTTTCTTTTATAAGGAAAACGCGGATGTTTTTAAATGATAATTTTCTTCTTTGTTTATAGAAAAAATTGCAAACATCTCTAGTTCGTTTTCTTCAATAATTGAAAAGAAATGATATTCAAATATACATGCCATTTGTTACGATCCTTTTAAACTTTAGAAGAGATAAAGAGGATTGACCTTAGCGACAGATTGTTCGACGACGGACTGACGTTAAGACCAAGATTATAAACGTAGAGTTTAATAAGAATAAGATTAAAATTTTCAACATTCAATATTCTATTGTAAATTAAATAAATAATTTTATCGTAGAAAGTTAATATCGTCGTTGAAAATAGAGAAACTGCGAGGGGACGAAAACGACAAAAACAGGATATCGAGATTACACTTAAACCGGATTAACGGTGTATAAGAACACCTAAATTTCATCGATTTCTGTATTTCCGATCGATTCGACGAGTGTAAAGTTTGTCGCTATCAACTTTAAAGTACCACAGAAGCTTTGGATCTTGATACAGAGAAGTAACAAGATCCAAAAACAATGTTCGCAAAGTAATGTTTATGCTAATTTAACTTAATAAATACATTCACTGATCATTTGTAAAATAATTATCTATTTTTGTTGTAAGAAATGATAGAAAGTCGATAATTTCATCTCTAATTTAGACTAATGATTGAGCATCTTTCGCTTTAGTGAAAAGTATCATAAAAGTTTAAAGTATATTACGTTAAAGGAACGAACAATTATTTATTGCGACGTCGTCACAATGTCGGGCTACAATTTTTAATCATCTTTTAATTTAAAACTAGACCGGAAGTTCGTACATAGTTAATTGGAATCTCTGGCCCTTAAGCTTTCCATATCTGGTCTGCATTTTAGCGGTATCTTACCCCTGTACAGTACATCATTCTCCTGATGACAATTGAGTCATGCCGGTCATCTATCTAACTCCGTAATGGAGAAAGTTTCGATTTGAAATTACGTTAATTCCGTACTAGAACGGAAGTTCGTATATAGTTTATCGTGACCTACGACCACGAAGTTTTCCATATCAGTCTCTGTTTCATCTACCTAACTCGTGTCTCGAGATTAAAGATGGACAGACAACATACGGATGACAGTGAAATGTATAAGTCTGCAACAACAAGTGAAGTCATCAAATGTAACCTGATAAAGGCTATAATAAACTCAAATGTTAGTTATTAAAGAATTTGTGTTGGAATTTGTGGTTATTTACAGTTCCATTAACGAACGAAAGTAGCTGAAAAAGTCGATACCCATCGTAATCCTCCTATTAGCGTAGAGAAGTTACATTTCATTGATTAGTAATAGCATTCCTGGAAAAATGCCCACTTGTGAGATATACGTCTAGGCAATTTTTCCGTTCAAAATGCATATCCTAATTTATAAATGATTCTATTGCTAGAATTAGACGTTATCTACGATATCGTAAAATTATTTAGAGGTTTTGAACGTTCTGTGCCTAAGGTAGGGATCCCAGAAGATCTTACTCACTGCCTGGAAATACAATAAAGAAAGAAACTTCATAAATTACAAGACAAGTTAAGACTTACACAAATTGGCACATATCAGAGGGTTATTTGTTCTATGTATTAAAAGAAATCTAAAATTTAATTTAATATTATTCATTCAAATAAAATATTTTTCTACATCTGTTAATTTTCTATCCCGATAAAAAAAACATTACATTTGACTTATTAGAATTAATTGAAAACTTATTGTTTTTGTAACATTCAGATATTATATTTATCTTCTTTGTAAAGCTGCCCCGTTTGGCGCTATCAAAACAATGCCATCTGTATAATTTATACGTATCACTTCATTTATTATTATTATTTCATCTTAATTTTGAGTAAAAATAACAGCAAATTTTGTATCAATGAATTGAATAGATAAAGCAATAAAGAATTTCCTTGGAGCAATCCAAGTTGTCAGCGGCCCACGCAGACTATAAAATATGGGTGCAATAGCTGTAAAAAAAAGGGCAACATACATTACGCAAGACGTTGAAACTCTATAATTCAACGTTGCATAAGAGCTCCCATAATGTCCTCGGGGCTAACTTACTCTTGAATGCGGATTTGGTTAACATAGATAAAGTTACATGGGACAATAGACAAATCATACTTAGAAAACATGATCAGGATTTCCGTATATTCTGCTGGACAAAACAATAGATAAACTGAACATGTTTACTCTTAACATTGTAGTTGCACCATTCAATAGAAAAAAGTTAGGCCAATATTGTCTAGAATTTACTTTCTTGATGAAACTAGCTCGACCATAGTCATGCAGATCTTCAATAGAGGATCATGAGTTCTTACTACAGCTTTCCACTGTGAAATCTTTGATCGAGTTTCAAGTTTCCTGAATGCTTTGAGTGAGGATTCTAAAGTAATTTCAAATGTAAAGAAACTACTTCTAAAATATTAATTTAAGAGAAAAACAAAGCAATATTGTGGCTTGTTAAATTGGATCAAAGTTTGGTCCGGTCATAAAATCGTTTACAACGGCACGAAAACATCTACAATTAAGCAAGTTGGAGGAAGACCACCCATATTCGGGTCAGAGCGAAGGTAAAAGAGTCTTTCTGATTGTTCGGAAGTTGGCTCCCAACAGAAATTTAAATTGGGCAGACGGAGGAATGTTATTGTTCTTATGTTCAATTTAAATCGCATTCTACTTTAGTTTAAATAATGCTGGAATGTTCCAGTGTGTGATGTAATTAAATAAACGTTCGCTTTTTCGAATACCATTTTCTATATTTTTTGCTTTTTTAGCAAGATTTTACACCCGAAATTATTTTTTTAGTCATTAAATATTTCAACATAAGTCATTATGTAATTAGCATGAGGATTTTAAATGTAGGCACTTCCCGGAATCGGTAAATAATCCGATATTCTTTATGCTCTGTTCGGTACCAAGTAAATATTTAACTAAATTCTTCTCTTTTAAGTTAAATAAGATTGAAAAGTTTACTTAATTAACCATTTTCAAATTGTTAATTACATAAACTTTTAGAGAAAATCAATAATTATTCCAAATTACGTGTCCTTCATCACAAAAGTAGGATTTATTTTTTCTCCGTGTTATACAATATTCCTTTTCTGAGATTTATTCCTATTCTAAGTATATTCTCTCTCATAAAAATATCTAATTACAATAAAAATTTATCATCCTATAAACACGTCATTATTTTTAT